TGGAAGATGGTGCATTCCAATAACATACTTTGATGCTCGAAGCTGGGGCTGATCCAATGCACTAAGGTCGTGTTTTAACCATGGGTGCCAGGCTTCAATTGCGTATTCGACATGAGAACGAACGTATGCACTAAGCATCAGCTGGAAAATAGAAGCGATCTATTTGTCCGAACATCCGCCGTAACAAGCCCACATGCCGATTACCAGTTTTGGTGGCTTTCGCAGGTTGCCTGGAACAACCCAGATCATCCGGAACCAGTACACCCAAATCACGTTCGGTGGCAGCTCGTTAGAGCACATGCATTCCGAGGCTTTAACAACGATTGTTCTGGTATCGTATGGAGAGCACCTTGCATTTACTTACATTGAATTGCAGTGAATTCTGGATGGACCACTGAGGTACCGTGTCTCGATCACTCTGAAGCAGTTGCTGGTCACTATTCATCTCAATCTTACGCCAGATATTGAGGTCATCGGCAAACATAAGGAAGTTAAACATAATTGCCTGTGTAAGGTCATTGAAAAATACCAAAAACAACCGGAGACCGAGCCTTGAGGCACATCACATACAACTTGCATGGGGTCAGACAAGGAGATTCGAACTATGACAACCAATTGTCACCGAAGGAGATAGTTGGCGATCCAGCGTAGAAGTGCGTCACCGATCCCGTAACGCTGTTCCTTGGAAAGCGGTATCCGATGATCTAGACGGTCGAATGCTTTCGAGAAATCCAGGTAAATCACATCTACATCCACTCCAACGTCAGCTGACTGGGTCCAGCAATACCGTACTATCAGTAAATTCGTTGTGCACGATCGATTTCGACGGAAGCCGTGCTGCTCAGAAATAAAAAACGAGTTTTCTATATAGCCCACCAGCACATCGGATATGATGGATTCCATCATCTTGGACAGTATAAGGGTAAGGGAAGCTAGACGATGGTTTGAAGCCACGGCTCTGATTCTACCTTTATGAATGGGTGCAATTATTTCAAGCATCCACATAGCAGGAACTTGGTTCTGGTCTAATCAGCGCTGGAAGAACTGACCTAGTGGCTCTACCAGTTGACTTGATGCTGCTCCCGGTGTATCTGAGCGAATAGTATCGACATCCAGGAAATTGCGCTTGCGTAGAGTGCAAACCTACTGCAAGACACCTTCGGTAGTATAGCAGATGTGAGTGAGTCCCGCGGCGGGGTGAGAAAAGCCGGAGGATCTCCTGATGGTAATACCCTCTCGAAGGTGGGGACATATTGCATCCGCAGCGCGTTGGATGCTTCCGTAGCCATGCGTGTTGGGCCATCAGCCGTCGTGAGTGGCGGAACACCCTGTTTTAGCTTCTGTAGACCATTGGCGCACTTATACAGCAGTTTGTCAGTGGCGCTGAAGAATTTTGTCATGTTCTGCTGATGCGCGGCTTTATCCTCTGAGCAGTTGAGTGCATTGGTTTGGTTGGGTTACGTGGTTATCCCAGATTTCTGGTGTTGGGTATAATCTGTACTCTCGCCACGCTGCGTTACATACTGCCGGCAATTTTCGAGTTCTACTCCTTACGTAGGTCACTGTTTCAGACCGTTTGCAAACTGTTGAATCTGAAGCATCCGTAACCAGCCGACTGAAAATGTTTATGAACTCGAACCAGGCGAAATGCGGAGAGTCTTCGGCGAGGAAAGGACAGATTGTGGCACTGAGGAGGTGGGCTACTCAGTCGTAGCATGTGGGGCTTCGCGTTGTCTCATGGTCCGCATCACGGCATTCTGCATAGCAGATGAAGTTGAAGCTTCTTCGCTTCGATAATAGTGAGTTGTGCCTTCTCCTTTCGCCAATTTGTCGTTCCGAATGAGTGACATGCCAGACAGCGAAATTTCAGCGTCCGTCATTTCTGTGTGTGATCACGTCTTCGTGATGCCAAAGAAATCATATTTCTGGGAAACTTGGGGTTGTTTCAGTTCGGCCTGCTTATTGAAGAGGTCTTGAGCATCTGGGTACAAGCTAGCTGGTTTATCTGTTTCTAGTAGCCCTCAGAGAGTCAAGAAAGTCAAGTGCGTGGGAGTGCTGATCGTCGTGAGGTCAGCCGTTATTAGTTTTTTTGATGAGATACTGATACCACTTCGGTTCTATGCTCTAGCCAAGGCGCGTCCCAACTCTCATCTAGGTCTACGACAGCATCGGGTAAAGCTGCAATCATTGCTGTTACATTTGCTTTCTCAGATGATTTCGTTGCTGGGTTCTCGGGCCTCATCCTGTATAATTTAGGGGGAGAGGTAAGCATTGAGCGATCGTTCCACAACATTATCCAAGCAAATGGTTTCGCGGATGAATCGCCATTGCTCTAAGTCGTGATTTCCGGCCTCTTGAAATCGTGTGAGGGAAGCTCTGGCACATCATGGATGAAGATAGTGTTTAGGCGATCAGGCTTGCTGTGTCCTTCTTCGGAGTTTCTTTTCGACTGTCGCATGTTTCACGGAACATCAGGATAGATACATATCCCACACGATCCATGTTGCAGCGCGTTTGCGGAGAGCAGAACGTTTTCCACATCCGTATAGGATGCTACTAAGTCTGGGCTCGCCAAAATGTGCAGAATTCGGTTGACGAGTAATTCGTACAACGTTTGTGGGTTTGGCTTTTACTTTTATCAGAAAGCACAGTGGCTCTTTTTGGTTTAGGTCGTCAGACAATTTACTTTGCAGTGTGATAGCTGCTGCTTCGGGAACGCTCGAGCACACAACAGTTAGGGCACTGTTGTTAGATCCCTTTTTAGTTGAGCTGTAAGGTTAGGAGATGGTTTGTTCTGACTTACAGCCAAGTGATGATTGCTTGTTGTTTGTCTCTTTATTCAAGTTAGTGGTGTTTGTAACAGATGAGACTGAAAGGGTGGTTTCTCGGGTGAAGTTTGCATCAATGGCGGCATATGTGACTAATGTTCTAGGGATCTTTGGTTCGATAATAGACCCCTGAGCTGCGGATGCTGAGGGTTGCTGTTCGGCTGCTTTGTCCTTCTTACATACAGGTGTCATCAAGACTGGTGTGATTTGATTACTCACATGTTCTGTTTGGTGCCTGATTTTAGTTGCCACGGCCACTGTTTGCCTGGTTGAGCGTTGTTTAGGAGCAACAACTGGTGCAGCATTCCTTTGGTTAAATCTCACTAGGCTTAACTGGTTCAGACTTTCTTCCACTGAGCTGATCTCAGTGCTCACTCGCTGTTTGCCCTCTGCTACCAACTGGTTGTATTTCTGGACTAGGACAAGCATACACTTGACAAATGGGATGGTCGAACAGGTAGTACAGAAGCAAAGGACATTTTGAGAGTTATAAATCTCTCGCACCTGCTGTTGGGATAAGCTAACACGTTTCGTATGGTGCTGCTTGGAACAGTGCGAGCAAGCGAAGCCTAGTTTGACTAATCGATTGCATTTTACTGTCCTGCAAACACCCTTAGGTTGGAGCCCTTTTGGATGTGCACTTACTGGATGTTTGCCATCCATTCTGGTGTCGTTACCCGAGCTAGTCGGAGGACTGGTGACTTTTCCGACTTCCGTGGCGTTATGCATCGGTCAGGTGAAGGTTGAAGCTTTGAAGATCAAGTGAGCAGTCGATGGAGTTGATATGCCTGCGCGGCAGTCCCAGGGGTGTGCAACTGCACCAGACGACAAGGCCACAAACAAATCCAAGATAGCGGATTTAGACTGAGATCACCTCATCACACCGCAATCACCTGCATATCGGTGATAGTGGTTACGAGGCAACACTTCATAGCGCCTAGTGATATGGTATCTGCTACCCGATCCGTTTGTGACGCGGACTCTTCGATGTAGCTTCGAACTGCCGTGCAGAGCTTTTAGTGCCGTTAGCGTGCATGATGATTTTGGTATAACAGATTTGAGTTATACCTCTATACATAGTTAAATTGCATCTGGTACACTAAGCCTGAATCCAATCTAACCAATACAAGACACTGGTTGGTAGCCTTGGAATACCGAGAGATCGACGATGATGGCATGATTCCTCGGCAGCTAGGTGAACTCTACATTGATAAAGCTGTGATCACATCACAAGTTAGAGGTTAGTAGAAAACCGGGATGCGTTAGCGATGCGACACACACAATCTGTAAACGGAAGCTGAATCACAGCCTTAGTTGTATTACGTGCTAAAATAAAAACTTTATATGCTCGGTAAGTGAGACAACAGCTGAATGGTTTGTTTGGCAGAGGTGATTGAGAGTGAAATTCACTAGTATAAGTTCAGTTGGCGATATTTAGCCTTTCGAGCACCTTAGTGTCGTGTTGCTGGTCCTCCCACACACCAACGGCAAGACCATGGCGCGGATAACTGATTTTCCAAGCGTGTTGCGTGAACAGAGTACGGTGGATGGAATGTCATCCTACACTCTTCATTCAGTTTATAATATATATGGGGAGCTGTACCGCGGTATTGAGATACTCTCAAAATATACTTTGTGTTACTTCTGAAACTGGAGCTATTTGCTAAGAAAGTTAAAAGTGGAAAGAAGGACTGTAAGATTGACCACGGGATACCGGTACAATTTTAAAACGAGTCTGTCGTGTTGTAAAAGCGAGTACTGACAGTGCTGTTACCGGGATGCGTGGTCTCAACTGCGCCACAATCTGTAGGTTGAAAACAAAATGAATAGTTCATAGAGCGATGTTATCAATCAACTCATCACTGCTACTTTAGCAGATGGGAGAAAGGTTGGCTGGCTGAAGGTAGCACAGATGAGCGAATTCGTTGGGGCGAATTTAGCTCCAGTCAGTGCTCCCCAATTCAGCCTCGGTTTTGCAAGCTAATGAACGCGCTCCAGAGAGCAGCAAATCATTTGCAATCATGCCCGAATAAGTCAAAGTCAAAGGAACTGGAATGCAACTTAAGATATAACATGGTGGCACCATTCAACCGGCAGTGAATTTGTTGGAATTGGCACAAAACTCGAAGTTCTGAAACAAAGGAATGCAGTGCACAGTTTGCCACAACTTACCCTGTGACCCATTTATGCCCCAGTACTTCTTTCAACTGCAAAAGACAAATGAGAGAAGACGGGGAATGAGGTGGAAAAGGTCCGTATTTGTCTGCTCTGTTCAGATGAGTGAAGGTGTAGAACGGTCGAACTGTTACCCTCGGAACGCAAAATTTCAAACGACAATGATTATGAGACTAGTAATGAAATATATACAGGGTTACAGTAATAAAAATACCCACTGGCCACCGTCCCAATGTGTCTGATCACGCGCAGTCTGTGACCACTGCTACAAATTGCAGGCTTTTCTCCTCATCCATCCTGTCCTGAATGGATTGAATGGGTTGACACATACATTGTTCTCGTGTTGAATAGCTCACACGTTTTATGGTTTTATCCGACAAGGTGTGCAGACGGAGGGAGTTTGTCATGAGATTGTATTGCTGAGACAGGCTTTCACCAGACACACAATGATCGCATTACTGTTCGTCTACTGACTGGTTTCGCAGGGACACGCTTGCGCATCGATGCACAACACACAACACGGTGCAGTCACATCCACATTGGGTTTATTGTGTTGCTAAACGACACACAGCGAACCTATATTCTCTGAATATTACAGAACTATAGGTGAAACCCTACAAGTTTACTGAACTCACTTATTCGTATGGGGATTCCGGACTCCACAAAACTGGAGAACAAAGGACGTGAAGGGTTTGTACCGGCTTCCGTAGCAACAACAGCCGTCAAAACAAGGAGCGTTCAGTAGACGCTGCCACTGGCTACGATGCGATCACATTATGGTACAAAATACTGAGTGATCCATTTCACGTAGACAGAAAACAGTTGAAGCTCAGTAGTAATATCAATCTGAGAGGTTATAACTTAAAAGCAAGTAAGCGATGCATGTTATTAGATGCTCAACGAGATGACTTCTCCTTTTTGAAGCAATCAAGCCTGGAATTCCTCACCAAACTCAGTTGTTTATGTCCAAAATCTAGTCAGCTTCAAAAAGCAGTCAGCTCCCTCCAATATTACCCAAATAGGTACTCTAGAATGCATCCTAATGGCGTGCAAAGTTGGAATTATGATTTACACTGGTGAGCTACGCAACTGTTCTTCACAATACGCTTTAGAAATAATTACTGTTCACACTATTTCGCATGGTACTATTCTATTTCCACAATTTAACTTCTAACACACCATCGTCCTGTGACATCGTGCATTGTGCACGAATGGTTTGTACCCGCCAGTAACCATTGTGCATTGTAGCAGAGAGGTGAGTACGGCTCGGATCAGTACACGTGAGGAGGTACAGTGAGGCGGTAATCATGTCCGTGTAATCCGAACATAATGCATTCAAAGTGAGTTGAGATCATAGTGTATTATGAACCAATCTGTCCATAATGAATCAATTTCGGACTAATCGATTGCATAGAAGTCTCATTCCAACGTACGCTCTGTAATGGCAAATGACCGGCTGCACACTGCGTCCGACTGACGATTACCGCCTCGCATAAAGTCAGCACAAAACTAACGTGGGAAAAAAGCAAGAGTGGCTGTCGAGAAGATCGAAGTTGACGTATGATGTCAGTTTGTTTGGTGGGGTTTAAACACAGCTGTACGATACATTCATCCGTTATCCAACCACATACATCCGAAGCGACAGGCTGATCCGCAAAAGTTTTACGGTACAGCACCAGAGAGCACAGGCGCAGTGGAGGAGATAAGCTACCTGGACATCTAACGAGGTAAGTGACCTCTACTACTGCAGAGGTAGGTTGAGATTACGCGGCAACTAAGGCAGTTAGCGGCCACACTAGCCTAAGTACAACCTCCAGAGGGAACCGTATCACTGCCCACCTCAAACTTGCATACACGTATCCAAGGCATCGCCCAACTCTAAGCAGATAGCAACGTGAGTACGGTGATTATAGCACCGCCACAGTAACATTCGTACGCTTGAAGGAATATTTGAATGGAGGGAATAGAGCATGGAGGAGCTCTAGAAAGCAGCAAATAAAGGATACCATTATGAGGAGACGCTTTGACACCGAACAGCTTAGAGATGCTGGGCGTACATTGGCAACAGTTCAATCAAAAACCAAAATGGTATTGTGACGAAACGGAAGATGGTAAGTGTACACCCTATCTTTTCGGATTATATACATTGAAAAGTCGAGGCGCACTCTTACAAGCAATGACACATCGATGATTGCCTCACGATGGACGTGCAACATCACTCGAGGAGCCGACGTGGTCAGTTGGATAGCTAAAGGTTAGGAGTCGCTTCTAAAGGTTGCTACGGCTGGCTATTCGTGAGCAGTAATGTCCTTATCTAGTTTTTACCAGGGCACGACAGGTGGTTGTTGTGGCCGTCGCAGAAAAGGACCATGGGTGACTGTGTCAACCGAGATTGAGCGTATCAGGCCCAGTCGTTCTTCTGAGCAGCTCAGCTCTTCTGATTGGATGACGGCGTTGGGTTACACTCTGTGCGGTTTCACGACTTATTCGTTTAACTTAAGTAACCTCAACAAAATCATTTATTTTGGTGCACAATATTAACAATGATGTTCATGGAGGCAGGAAAACAGTAGGGGGGCGCAGTGAACGATACTCCCTTCAGTGGTTAAGCTTCGTTGGATAAGTCGTTGGGTCCTGAAGGGCAGACTTCGCCGACAATCGAAACTAAGCTATTGTTGCACCTCCACCCAATATTCGTTCACCTCAGAGTACAAAAGCGACTTGTAATTGGTGATAATGTGTAGTGCTTCGTTATCCGCGCTGGCGATCACGAGACGCTTCCGGAAGGGGCATACGTTAGTGATCGATGAAGCATCATCCTAGTGGCTGGGTGTTGGATTATAGTGAAGCCCGCAGGAGGAGATACATGCTGGGTCGTAGTGACCGCATTTGTCAAGGTTCACTTCAGAATGAACTGCGGTCCGAGGTGATATTTCGTGTAGAAATGCATTTTCATACAACGAGTGCTTCAAAATGACAACCTACGGAGAGGTAGTTTGCATGAGTTAGCTCTGACGGAGTAAGTACCAGTTATGGAAGTAAATCGCGTACAGATAAGCCGGGGTCTAAATTAGGTTGCAAGAAGGATCAGATTGTCAAATGACAAACGAAGCTACATGAGACCAGAAGTGGAATTCTCGCTTCAATACTGAGTTGCGTGCGGTGCCATTTACATGGTCAGATTGCTGCACGCAATCCCAACTTGGATCGGGATGTAATCTGAGGTAAAACTATACCAATTCTGTCACCGGGGCCGTAACTGAAGCACATAATTACGAAGTGTTGCCAGCTTTCCGAACCCAACTCCAAGACCGGTTCGTGGAGGTAGCCGAGGAGGGATGTCCACTCGGGAAGTGAAATTAACACCGCGCCCCAGTCAAAGCATATCACAGTCATTAAGACCCATTGTTGGGTTATTGCGAGAGCGCATACACGTAACCGGTATTTTTATCTAGCTTAAATTATCAGGATAACTTGTTTCCAAATTCAGTGCTCAGTCGGTACTGGGTGTCACCATGTGTATGCATGTTTGCGTGCGGGCATGTGCGACTTACCGTAATGCGTTTACGCGTGTCCACCTCGATCATCGCCCGAAGAAGCGCCTGACAGTCGGGGGAGACGAACGGCGGAATGTGGAACACACCCTTCTTCACCTTTTCCAACAAATTTCTCAGATTGTCATCATCAAATGGCAGGGCACCCTTGAAGATGATGGAGTGAATGGGATGAGAGAAAGAGAGAGAGAGGTGATGTGCGACACAGAAGGGTGGATAGAACTGATTTCGTAACGGAAAGTGCACTACTTCATGCGGTTAAAGTGCAGGCCTGACAATGGCACTTCAGGTGCTGTCACAAATGTGCGTGGAGAGGTTGATGTCATTTTAACCAAATATTGACGATTTTGTAGCGTTCGATCTGTCAGTTTTCGTTCCCACATTTACTTGTCACCGCTTTTTTATGAACAACCTTGCGATACATGCGCTGGATGAAGGACGGAGTGTATTACACTGCAACATTCGCAACCCCACCCATGTATCCCAAATCCATTTAATATTAAAAGAACTAATCTCACACGGTTAAAGTACGCCAGCAGTGATAGGGAAACAGAAGTACGCCGGTACGCAGTATCGACTCTGCACTGCCGCGCAACCAACACCGGTCGCACGTGGGCTTGGGATACTGCGTGGGTCGCCCGGGCCCTTCGCAGGCCTGAACCTGCACCTTCGGGTTACAAGTCAGGTGGTTTACGATCCGGGTGTGGTCTACCAGGATAACAGATGAGACGAATTAACCTATCGGATAGTTATATTTCCGATCTAAGTAACTTAAAACAGATCAAACGTGCATGGACATTCGTGTAAAGGTTTATGAACGAAATCTGGTCTACACTATACAATGCTGTTTTGTAATCAAAGGATTCACCACTTATCAGCTACTGGTTTGCTTCGACTCAATGTGGTATCAGCCGACAGTAGACATGTCCTCGAAGAGAATGAAGTGACCAGTCGGTGCGACCCAGTTTATTTGTGCATGTGACTTGATAAAATGTCTACTATCTCTGCCGATCATTTGCAAATGTAGGACCCTGCTGCGTGGTTTTATATGTCTTTGCGCGATGAGGGTGTTGTAGGAAGGCAGAGCAGATCTCAGTCGAATGTTTCCAAATCACACATATTTGGTTTGCGTTGCCTACTAGGTATTGATCACAAGTGTTGTGTGGAATATCGAGTCTATAGCACAAGTCATGTAAGGATTTTACAACGAACGCCGCCGTTCGGTCAGTAACTTTGGGAACATACCGATGATATCTTGATTAGAAATGTAGCGTAAGCGTATTCTTGATGGATCATCCAGTTCAAAGTTGCAGAGTGGACACACACTCATTTCTACCGACAGCACCGTGTGGATCCCCAGATGTAATTATGTGGTGCGCGTCAAGGACACCAGGGATTTGAATGCCGCACCAGTGACAGTGTATTGGCGACACTAGAACTCAAGCAGCAGCTAAGAACGTATATCCGTAACCGCATTTTTGAATAAACTCCATGCCGAAACCTGGGCACACGGGTTCTTTAGTTAGAGTTATTCCTGCCTTACCAACGTAGTTGCTACGACATCTAACTTGCTCAAAAATTTACAAGCCCTTGTCGCCAACAGTCAGGCGGTAAAAAAGCACACAGCGATTTTGCAAAAACACTTTGCGTGTTGAAGCGGATATCATGGTCACTGGACACAGCGGATGCTGGCTGCTGAACAGACATAGTGAAAGATGAGCGGCCTGATTTCGTCAGACAATTGGGGGGCTATGAACGAAATTATCGTGCCATATGGTCTAAATTTGTACACCGGTGTATTTGTAGTAATAGGTAAGTTCAGTGGCCATCTGCCGTCCACAAATGACAATGTTTTGGTCTATCTACTATTGGTAGGTGCTTGCGATTAACGAGAATGCACGAAGTGGCGATGTCAGCTCACAAGTATTACTTATTTCTCTTTTTGGAATGATACATGTCAGTAATATTATAAAGACCAACATTTATAATGCGAATGTGACTAATAAGTGAGATGTTCGGACCAGACGGATAATCTGGAACTGCACAGGCGCCGCTAGACCAGGACTTGTCAAGACCACGAATGGAACACCATGCATTTTAGTTGGAGGGATATTACACTTTACCAAAAAATCAATCCATATTCCATTGCAAGCATTACCCAAAAGGTTTATATCTAGTGGAGCAAGTCACTTAAAAATGAGGTGTAGCAGATAATGGATTTTTCTGTTGTTAACGCGTACCATTCAACATAGAGAAAAATGTGGAGAAATAACGGAAATTTCCCAAACGCGTCAGATGCTATCTACCACGGGCTGCATCAGAGAGATAGAATTGTGACAGTTCTGGCAACAATCAGACCACGGAGGGGAAGACTGGTTGGTAATTATCACAATCAGAAGAGCAAGTGGCAGCACAGCGACAGTAAGAAGGAATACGATGATTGTAGAAGTACATTTGCATGCACCATATCACCGTGTGCATCTATAAATGATGCAAATGGTTCGTGGAAATATAGAATAATAAGCGAATGAATTATGTTCAGATCATGCGGCTGAATAGCTACTGAATGCATCGACAAAAGGTAGGTGAGCATCAACGGTCTTCCCTAATGACTAGAAGCACTAAGGCAGAGAACTTCGAGAGAGTATAAAAGAAGTGTGGAAAAGACTGAATAAGCAATTATACCGTGGGCGAAATATAGTGGGACCATAAGGTAGTAAACGGTGAAGCGAATGCGAATGAAATGACACAGCACAGGAAAGAAATTTAAGTTGATACCTGGAACAACAACAAAAAGCGAGTAGGAACGTGTAAGTGCCAAAAAAGACGAAAGCTGTAAAACCAACAAAACAATCACTGCAAACGTCAGGTAGAGGTGAAAAGCACAGCAAATGGATTGCAATCAATGAGAAAGAAGAAAAGGCGCGACAGGCATGCAAGCTGGGCCAACAGTACTGGATAGACATCCCTATGGACAGTTAACATCCGGCTGTTGTGCCGCAAAAGGCTATATAATCCGTCTGCTCCTAGCCATTTCAACAAGTGTATCCAGAGCCAAAAGTGTGCACTGTCTTCCGGGCCCCAACCAAGGAGCAGAGACGCCTCAACGGAGGTAAATTTCAAAGCAAGGCATTCATTCCCTTTGATCAAGTTATCCTCTGAGCACCCCTCCTCTTGTTTCATCCATCCATTCGGCGCGAAAACAACGCACGTCGCGGAAACCGATGGCTCGGCATGCACAACCCGTGGCCCATCCACCGGGGCCTAGGGCGTGATATAACGGTGCTGAGCGGTTCAATTCTTGTTCCTGTGCCAAAAACAAAGCGTCCAACACCCATATGGCATAAACAGCGTTCCCCCAAGATATGAGCCAAAATGCGAAGGCAGCGATGGTAGAACGTATCTAACCTCAGAACGTTAGACGCTCAAATGGACGACGTTTAAAGACCGTACAGTAGGGCAGCACATAAGGCTTCATTACACGCTACAACCTTCAGGCAGTAATGTCGTGCCGGCGACATAAGTGACGAAGGTTAACAAAAGCGCCTCCACTTTTTGCTTTATGGTACCTGACCCCGTCATCAATTCCACACGCCCTACAACAACTGCCGAGATAGTGGAATTTTTGAACAATCTGTAAGTGAGCGCGAAAAGGAGTAACCGCAGTAGACAATATCAACCAAATTGGAGAAAAAGTTAGCAACTCAAAGGGATCTAATCCGTGCAGTGCAGATTGGCATGGTTAGGATTAAAGACAATGTCGCTCAAACAGGGGCAGCTTCAAATTTTCCAACTTCAGCAGTTCCCGCAAAAGTGCATAAAAAATCTAAAAGAAGGCAAAAAAGGTGCAAAGATTTGTACACAAAGTGATAAAATTCGCAAAAACTGTGCAATTCGCCAGCCCCTCTGAGCCCATCTTCTGACCTCAAGAGTGCTCTCATTGGACGGGTGATAGGGTTTCGTGCGTAAGTTGCGAAGTGAGCGCGCTGTCCGAGGTCAACATGCCTTCTCGTGTTCGACAGAGTATCTCGCAGACATCCTTGACCGAGTTCTGGATGCCCTCGTCAACTGTGATGACTGGCAGCTCGTGGCAACCGTGAACAATTGGAAATATCAAACTGCCAACTCCTGGATTCGTCGCTCACTTGACCAACATTCGGATACTACGCAGGCGCGCAGTCGTAAGCGAATTCTGTCAGAGGAAGAGATTGGTGACATCCTGGAGTGGATCGCAATGGACGCAAGTCGAACATTACATGAAATGCGAGTCCGAGTACGTGCCGATGTGGATAAGAACATTTCAAAGTCTACAATCGCACGACACCTGGATGGCCGTTTGATGACTATGAAGAACACCTATCAGAATCAAGAAGAAATGAACAATAATCGAAACAATGCGATACGAAAGGAGTTTGTTCAAAAGTTTCTCGAACTTGAAATGCAGGGAAAGTTATTCATATGCATCTGCGAATGAGACTTACACGTTTACTGCAAACGTACTCGTGGTCGGGCGCCCAGAGGAGTGAGGGCCTGTGTCAAAGTAGCCAACAACAGAGGCCTGAATTTGAATATCATCGGTGCACTCACAATGGATGGAAACGTTTCGATGACTACCCGGAGAGGCTCATTCACTGGCCCCCTAGCTCTTGAATGGCTGCGAGACAAGCTGAGGTGGCAAGTGGAGCTCCGGCAGGTGGTCGTAGTGTGTGACAATGCACCATGTCACACACGTTTGGAAGCACTTGCGTCAGTCGAAGGATACGAAGGGGTTACCATGCTGAGATGGAGCCCATACTCCCCGTTCCTCAATCCCATCGAAAATGTTTGGCAGGTGGTGAAGGCCCGAATGAATAGTGAAATGCGAATGCAACACGATGAACTTCTAGCCGGGGATCCCCAGAACCTGATGACGCAAATGGAATGGAGGTTGCAGTTTCTGGAACGCATTGCCAGAACAGCAACCAGTGAGATCAGTGTTGCGGGATGTGGTAATGCGATTCGACACATCCGTGTACATTTTCCTGATTGTTTGAAAAAATGACGTGCTTTGATTACATTTCCGGCTCATCACTTTAGACATCTGGTTGTATAGCGTATACCACTAGGAGCGGGTAGGGACACGAGGAAATTCAAAGTCTCGGCGAAAT